AATCTACGGCAAATACAAGACTGTTTCTGTACTAATTTTAGGTTTCACTTTGGCGTGTTTCTCTTCTGATTCAAACAATTACCTTTCCAAATATTTTTCGTATATAGTAATTTAATTTTTTATATGTAATAAAACTTTTCTTTATTCTACATTTTAAGTGTCATTCTTAAAAAGCAAAAATTATGGTGTTATGGCAGTGAAAAATTAATGATAAAAATTGGGGGGGGGAATAATAATATCTTCACAAATTGTGAATTAAATAATTAAATTTCTAAGTCGCTCTTTTTATATTTACATCAATAAAATAATTGCACGAGGAAAGAAAAGAAAAGAATGCACATACTTTTAACTTTGTAGTGAAGAATAAATTTAGACTCGGAAGTGAATATATATTGTGTTAAGAGAGTAAGTTGAATGCATTTTATATTTTGCGTAGGTAAAAAATCTCCTAACAAAATTTCTTTCTTGTTCATCTCATAATGTACGAATAAATAACAAATTGCAATATTTATATATAAAAGTGCACAGATAATGCAAAACCTCTGTCTGTGAAATAGGGTGAATATTATTTTCCTGTCAGTCTGTAAAATAGCTTCTTATAAAAATATGAGCTTGTGTGTATATCTATTATTATAATTTTATGTAGAATAATTATCTTATGCTTAGATGCAGAAAAATTATCGACTGAATCACCGTTATTTACCATACTGATACGCATGCGTTAATGAATTATGCTTAACTATACTATAAACTATATTTTCAATTTATCTGAATGCTCGTTTCCTATGTTTCTTTCCCTTTTACCTTTCTAATGATTCAAAAAAGTATCTCAGTTCGTAAATTAGCAAGGCTAGAAAAAACCTGAGTAAATGTTTTATCGAATAAAGGATTTTTAATGAAAGGTTTTTATTTTTATTTTTTATTTTATGTATTTCTTGAATGAGTCTCGGAAAATTATATTACTAATTTTTATTTGTTTTGAGAGAGAGAGAAACAGCATTTGATCTCTTAACGTTTAATCGGTTCAGTATTGCCAACCCGTTTAATGCATAAAATCGATAATCGAGCGCATGTTTGAGATGCGCATGCTTATTGAGCGATACTGATTATGACAGCTCTTTTATATGGTGTAACGATGATTAAGTGGCTGGACTAGTTTCCTTTTTCTGTATTTATCAACATGGCTCCACTAATATGTTTATCTACATATTTCTGAGGGAGACAATGTTTCTGTAACTTGATTATGGATGCTTTGTTACCATTATTGATTTCTAAGTTCAAGTTTTTCATCAGAATTCTTTTAAACCATTAATAGTTGTGATCGAGCAATAATTCTTAGGCTATGTAATTTTACGCAGTATTAATTAAAGTGTATACTATCTTGTACGAGGGCCATCCAGGAAGTAGATTACGTTTCCGTCTGTGTCCGCTAGGGGCGGGGCTAGCGCGGCCATCTTGGGGTCAGAGCGTTGCGCAGCTCAGTCTGCATCTAGCCGTGCTAGTGAGAGGTTCGTGCTGTGCTCCGTTCAGATACTGTGACGGTTTGAAATGTCTGCGTTAATTGAAAATCCCGCGAGCTGCGAGGTGCGCTCAGTAATAAGGTTTCTGACTGCAAAAAACTGTAAACCGATAGAAATCTATCGGCAGCTTCGTGAAGTGTATGGGGACAACATTATCACTGAAGGTGGAGTGCGTCAGTGGGTCATAAGATTTCAAAATGGCCGAACCAATGTTCACGACGAAGATCGAAGTGGGAGACCCAGCATAGTGACCGCCGAACTTCTCGAAAAAGTCGATGCTAAAGTCCGTGAAAATCGAAATTTCACAATAACGGAACTTTCTTTGAGTTTTCCACAAATTTCGCGAAGTTTGTTGCACGAAATCATCAGCGAAAAGCTTGGTTACCACAAGTTTTGTGCAAGATGGATTCCAAAATCTTGACAGAGGCCACAAAAATCAGCGATGGCTGCAGCGTTGAACTTTTTTGGACGCTTACCATAAGGATGGTGACTCTTTCGATCGCATCGTTACTGGTGACGAAACATGGGTATGCATTGGCATGCAGCGGCGACGCACAGCTGCAAGAAGAGTTACGAAGTGGTTCGCACGGCTTTTGGATTTCCAAGCTCGTACATCGCTACTAAATGCCTTAATTTGTAGGTGACTATGTAGAAAAGTAGTATTTGAGTGTGACTTTCATCGTATATAATAAAATTTGTTTCCTATACTTTGTTTATTTTTTTATTCCAAAACGTAATCTACTTTCTGGATAGCCCTCGTATTATAACCCTTAATAATATTTCGATCGCAGTTAAAAAAAAAGAATGAATTACCATACATGTTATATATTGTAATTTAAGTTAAGCAGGGATATCCGATGACTTATCGTATCCTCCTCCCTCGCCCAAAAAAAAAAAAAGAAAAATTTGCATTTTAAAAGAGATGTTTTCAGATAAAAATAACTAAAACTCTCTTGATTTGAGGCACTTTTGAGTATCATTTCATAATAATTCTTATTTTGTTAATATTTTATTAATTTAAATTCTGTTCTCTAGGTTCCATGCTTTCTTCTTTCCGCTCCCCCCCCCCGCACAGCGGATTTTTTTCACAGAATTCTTGGAAAGCAATGCGTGGCTATATAAAATATTAAAATTAATTATTTATGTTCAACAACAGGCATTTAAAGTATAACTAACAACGAAAAATTTATTTCATGCCTTACTAAATTTAAACCGCCAGTGAAACGATTCAAGAAGAGAATGGATATATCTTTTTCAAATTAGATGCGAAACGATTAAATTATTTCGAGTTTAAAATATTATTTTTTTGCAGTATTCAATAAATAATTCCAAACTGCATTCAGTTCCTAAAACATTTTCTCATCTGGAAAGTTTTGTTCATCGACGGCTGAGTGGATGAGGTCGGAGAACCTAGTACTTTGACTGGAGCTTGAACTCCAATTAAAGGACTGGCTTCACAGACATTTCTTTAGTTTTTCTCATAATATATAACTTGAATATAAGTTCGGGTATCTCTTCTCTTTGGCAGGTAGTGGTCGCCCGTGATTACATAAACAAACTCTACAGTTTCTGTAATAAAGGATTCAGGAATATTTTTGTTTAGAAAAATCATGTATATGTTGCAATGGTGAGTCATTTATGGAGTCGTATTAGAACAAGAATTGTTACAAAGACTTTTTGAAAAGGCTGATTTTACTATAAAGTTTAAAATGAGATAATGCCGGGCAAGACCCATGACTATTCTACATGTGAATGGATTCCACAGGATAATAAGGAAGCAAATGCTGTCTGTGGTACTTGCATTCCAAATATGGTAGCTTTAAAGGCATAATATCATATTTCTGAAGCTCTTAATACGATTGCACCAAACAGCGCAAAAATTTTGAAAATATTGGGCAAATAAGGAATTTCGTTGATACTAACGTTGATTTTTTTAAAAAAAGGAATAAGCCATTATTTTATTGATTTCTTAGTTGAGCAGCAACAGAGAATATGCGCAGCATTATATTATATCGAATGTACCTTAAGCAAAACGAGAAAATCGCCATCTGATGAATAAAAAAAAAAAAAAAAAAAATTCCGAAAGGGTTAAGATTTTAACTGTAGACCAAAAAGGCTCTTTTAAAATTTAATACACTTTTAAGTAAGGATTATCAAATGAGATTGCCCAAGAGGAATAGCGAAACAGTTTATAGAATACTAGATGAATATACGTTGAGACTAACATGAGAATCTTTATATATCTTCTGTATATTTGAAAAGTGAAAAAATATATAATGTAATTCTATAAACAGATTAAATTTTAAACTTAAATATCTTACATTTCGCCGAATGGCAACAGGCTCAAAAGGAAAATGAAATAACGCATTTAAAGTGGCTCGGTTCAAAATCGTGTTTAATAACCATTTTGAGTTAATATTGATGGAAAAGAATGAATCGGCTATTCTGTTCGACCATTATTTATTAATAATTATAATACTAATTGTCACTATTTACTGCTTTTAAACATTTTCTTTTTTATCCTTTTGTTTATTCAGTATTTTGTGTTGGAAGGAAGGAATATATTAGTTCCAAAATTATTAAACAGAGCTATTGTTTTGAAAATAAGGAATGATGCTAAATAATGTAGTATACAAATTTATGATTCTTTGCTTTTTCTAATGTAAATATTTAATAGTAATTTATTTTAGAGAAAGCTGAGTAAATTTTAATCTGTATAAAAATTATTAAATTTAATTTAAGTTCTTAAAAATCTGAAAGTGAATTTATTGTAATCCGACATTAAAAAATACTATTAGTATATTCTTAAATTACTTGATTTTTAGGTTAACTAAAATGTCATATTTTCTGATTTTAATAAGTTTCACTGTATGTAGAAGTCAGAAATGCTGTAAAATTAGTTTGACAGTTTATTGATTTGAACTATTTAATGATTCATTGTCACTGTATAATAGTTAAACTACTTCATATATTCATTGTCACTGTATAAAGAAAGATAACTTGTTCTTGCAAGAATTTAAGAACTTTATTGCAGCGTATGTAATTACTATTATAGAATAACTATTCGCAGCCCATCCTTTTTCCTCTTAATATCAGAAATCTGTTTTGATAATTTGAACTCAGATATGTTTGATAATTTGAACTTTGATCGTTTAGCTCCGAAAAGTTTACGTACAGTTGATAGTTTTACAGTTTTCATGTAAAATAAAGTCATACTTTTTTAGAAAATTACATTTTTATGTAATTTTACCAATTAATGAAGTATAGCTTTGTAAATCTTGCAATTTTAGCAGAATTAAAAGTTACCACATTTCGCATTATCATGATACTTTGTGTTTTTTAAATGGCGTTAAAGAAGCTGGCGAGCGTCTTGCAGCAATAACACCATGGTAAAGGCACTGTGTCAAATAGCTTTAGCTTTCCTTCAGATATCATTGTCTTGAGTATGCCTGCTGTCACCATGGCGATAAGACATCCAGACACAGGAAAACTATAATCTCTTTCTAAGGAAAGAGGAAGCAGTCGCGCAAGGCTCAAGATTTATAACATTTACAAATGTTCTGAAAAGCTGCTTTGGTTTATGCAGTGGCATTCAAAGCTCACTACTTCATCTAACTGGGACAACCGGAAGAGCCGAAAATCTTCAAAATGCACCTGTATGTTCGCTTCATGATGGTAATATAACAATTCCGTTTTTATTAAAAGGTGTGAAAACTTGTATTGTTGAGAATAAGCCAGATATTTAGTCAATTATTTATGTTTTTATGCCCAAATTTCTTTTCTGCTAAAAAGTATTAACCTTTTAAAAGGCAATGTTAAAGAAGCGCGTACGCTGTAATTAATGACATTACGCAGATAATGTACTTAATTTCAAATAATGGCAGATCTTGATTTTTGTTACTGATATGTCTGGTCAAATATTGCTGTTTATAAATTGAATACTTCGTTTTTAAAACTTTTCTTTAAATGTCTTCCGAATTTCAAATTTATCCCCCCATTTGAAAGTCTGCGTTTTAAAAAAATTCATGTGCTTTTTACTGCCAAATACAATAAGAATAGCAGAATATTCAGTTTGAGGGAGAACACGTGCTCTCGGCGTGTTTGGTATGTAACACGAGCTAAGATTTTTTTATTTTTTAAAATAATAATTAAGTATGCATATAAATGTTATTTTTTCATATTTCAATATTTGGAGAGTTTTCTAATGTTTAACTTGTATTGCATTTTTCCGTCTGTAACTTAATTATTAATAAAATGTTAACATCTCCCCAATCCAATAGACATGACAGATAGTTGCTGTACCACTAGCTTTGCTCTTCCCGACGAGATATTTCAGCGTATGATGTTCCTGATTCATAGTTTGTCAAAAGCAACTATTCCCTTGTCTTCTTTTCTCCCACTTTCACAAATCAAGTGACGTCATTGAACTTGAGTATCGGAAAGAGCATAACCTTGTTTGTCTACTGGCATCGGTATTACTGATTTATCTTAAATTTAACTATTCTCAAATGCAAAATAAATTCATATTTTTGCCTTTGCAGTTGTAATAAACAACATTAGAGTTCCGTAATTCTCCGACTTTAGGAAAAGATGTAATTTGCTAACTGATGTTACAGTTGTGATAGATGAAGTTGGAATAGCGTAATGCCTCATCGTTAGGAGGAAATGTAAATTTACTAGCAGATAATGTAATTAATTTTAAGGAGTGGCAGTCTTGATTTTCACTACTACTTAGTTAAATATTAGTGTTTATAAATTGAATTCTTATAAATTCTTTTTATATACACAAATATTTACTAAATGTACAGTATGAATAAAAACAGCGAATCCTGTTTAAGAAGACCACTTTAGTTTAAGGAAAAAAAAGATAATGTAAAGCCCAGAAGGGCTATTAACTTCGTTTTGGCAATTTGCGTTGATTCATTTTTCAAATTGTTGTCACCAAATATTACAGTACTCTCTTATATCTAAAGAAGTTAAAATAAAAAAAAAAAAAAATCTGAAAGATTTCAGATTTTAAATCACGTCCAAAGGTGCTTTTTTTTTTAATGTTTCGTGTGTTACCTTTATTTATTAAATATCATGTTCTTTGCACTTAAACCATAAAATTCAGTTCAACAACAATGTCGCAAAATAATTTTAAAATGAGCCTATCTTTAGAATTTCCGATACACAGTTTCGCGCGCTGGAGATAAAAATGTTTTTTTTTTCCCATAGAGTGTTGCCATTGCTCGCTTTTAAATGGTTGAGTTTGTTAATCAAAAATTCGCTAAAGTTTTATAAAATATGAAATCGGAAATGAAACAAATTTCAAATTTCAAATTAGGGCTTTCAAATGCCCATATTCGCAGTAGGATTACGTCATTCAAAACTTGATGGCTCTAAGTACCGTTGTTTTATCCCAATGCTAGAAACATACATTTATGCAGATTCTTCATTATTTAATTTCTTCAAATATAATACAAGGCGATAGTATTTGGGGGCAACGATTTGAAAAGTGATGCAGCCTTTTAAAGTTTTCAACTCAAAATAGCAAAACGAAAACAATAGTCCTTCAGGGACAAAGCCCCTTTGGACTAATGAAAAATCTGCATAAATGTATATATGTTTCTCGTAGTGTCATAACACAACGATACCTAGAATCATGAAATTTTGAATAACGTAATCCTCCACCGAATATGGTAATCTGGAAGCCCTAATTTGGAATTTGTTTTATTATCTATTTCATATTTTGTCAAACATTAAAGAATTTTTGATTGACAAACTCTACGATTTCAAAGCGAGGAATGACAACACTGTAAGGGGGGGGGACCTTTTTATCTCCAGCGCGCGTGTTTGTGTATCTGAAATTCTGAAGATATGCTCATTTTAAAATTATTTTGCGATATTGCTGTTGAATTGAATTTTATGGTTTAAGTACGAAGAACATGATATTTAATAAATAAAGGTAACACACAAAATATTAAAAAAGCCCCTTTGGGCGTACTGTAAATTTTTTTTTCCCCCTTCATGGTTACCCTTCAGATGTTACGGCCTATACTGTTATTCATTCACGTTCTCTGAAACATTTCCCACTTTCAGATGTAGTCACATAAGAAAGATGGTCGGCATAGGAAAGTTCACAGTACATTTAATTATTACTTATACTTTTAATTAAATAACATATATATTTTAATAGCATTAAACTATAAGTAATAATTTACTTTTTAATTTTTCATAATTTAAAAGAATTGAAGCTCTTAACGCCTTTGTTATGTTATAATAATCAACATTTCTGGCACCTTGATATCATTGAATCAGCTCATATCATTGAATTTATAATCACTGAATGCATGAAATGAGAAATGTTCGCAAAGTGCACTGTTCTATATACTATGTCGAAGGGATTTACTTCAAAATATCTGTATTCAGATTTTATAGATAATATTTTTGGAAAAAAAGGAGATTGCACTATATTTGTACAAATCGATTTCGCGGACGATGGACTTCTTTATCAGAAGCAGGAGAGTTTTGCTCATTTAGTACAGTTTTTTTATTTTTTTTTTTTTTTTTTTTTTTTTTTTTTTTCTTGAAAAAGAGGCACCTACGTCAATCGCTCTTAAAATCCGTACAGTTTTTTATTAAATCTACTCCAGGCTAAGTCTGTTTTAGCCTAATTTTGCATTTTGCAACTTATTTTATGTTTTGTTAAAGTACTCAACTAATGAATTATATACCAATTCAATATTTTCCCAAAATAATAGATATATTCTAAAAGTTCGATATACAATTAATTTAAGAGATCTTAAGCGCAAAAAAAGTAACGAAAAAAATGAGAGGACCAATTATGTTTCAAATGCGTATTTATACATCGTTACTAGCGTTAATCAAAGGAAAGATTCTAGTACTGTCCCTAATCGAATCCGATTCTTTCCGCATCTAGATGTCTCTGTAAATCTGGCTTTATTAAAATAATTAACGATTGTAAATTATATCAATGGACGAATTGTTGAACCTGATAAAAAATAGTATTTATATAAAATAGAAATTTATTTTTATAATAATAATGGTATCACACACATATATGATTAAACTGAGGATTTATTTAGAGTACATTCTTTGTTTATCTAATAAAGATTAAACCAATTTTCGTAACTGGTCATATTGATGACCTTCATTTATTAGCATTCCTTTAAGAGACTTCTGGAGTATCTTTATTGCTATGATTCTGTATTTTGATGAAAAATGTACATTTCTTCAGATTATGAGTTTACTTCTCGATTAACATTGGATACACGAGGAAATTATTTGGATTACTGACTTTAGAAGAACTGTCTCATCTGAAAGACGCAGTGGATACTAAGAACACGTAAGTACAATTTTTATTACTTCATATTTTTTAGATGTGTATAATTACTATTGATTATTTATGCTGGTGAAAATTATTTGTAGAACTTTTATAATCCCTTTTCATAATACAGGCAACATAAAAGAGTTACATATTGTTATAAAATGCCTCAAGGTTTTATTAAAATTATCATAAAATTAAAAATTTTGAATTTTATAATTCCAGATGAAGTATTATAAAGTGTATTTGTTTTCCTTAATTCTGCATGCATTGTGGGTGGAAAATTCTTTAGGAGAAAGCGAGAAAGAATGAAAATTTTAATTTTTTATGTCATTTGCTACGATCACAGGAATTTATACTTTAAATGGTATTTAATTTATTAATATAATCGGTGGTACTCGAGTTAATGATAAGAGGGCTTTTGAGAAGAAATTTTTACAAAGTTCAACATGAAACACATGTTTTTCGAAAGTAACGCACATTATGATATTATCACTCAAAAGAAACTTTGATAATTTTTACTAATTTTAATAATTCTTCCTTTTCGTCACTATTTTATGTTGGCTTTTTGCCTCCCGCCAACCTGCATAGGTAAGGGAGGAAATGTTTTCGCTCCAAAAATTCGACAGTGAGTTTCCAGTGAATAAGCACGAATAAAGGTCCTCAGAACATACTTTTACAATTATGTCTGTCTGTGTGTCTAAATGTGTGACGATTTTTTTTTTTTTCATGCACGATAATTCTTGTATTGAAACTTCTACTTTCCATATTTAAGCTTTCTACATTCACATGAAGAGTTGATTAGATTACAATGTTCATTATATGGGAGAACAGAAGAATAAAAAATTAGTGCTTATAGTTAACAATGAACCATAAAATTTATAAGCAAAGTGGATTTTATTTACAAGCGATCGACCAGAACTAATAGTTTACTTAAAGCTCTTTGCTATTTCGGAATTGGCGGTATATCGTGTACTGGCCACATCAGAAATTTTTTTTTTTTTTTTTTTTTTTTCATTTTTTTTTTTACGTAATGAGAAAGAAAAGTAGCTTTTGCTGTTTTTAAATCCTCTTATTTTGCTAATCATTTCCTATTACGTCACTATACTTACTTCGGGAAATATTTGAATAGGTTGAAATCTGAATTTTGAAATTTTAAATTTCCCTTCAGGTGGTCGGAATTCCACTGTATGCAAAATTAAGAGAATTTGCAAATTATGTTCATTTGTACGACATATATTGTATTTAAGGGACTAATTATGCAGCGGAAGAATTATGCAAATATTCAAATACATAAGCATGCATGCACATTGTGTGCAAAGTTTTGATTGTAAAGGGGGATATTAGTGCACGAGGAATGCTCGTCGATTTATGGGCTTGTACTCCTTCACTACATTCGCCGTGTTTCTCGCAAGCGTTAGGTAACTTAAGCGTAGGTTTATAAAATATCAAGTAAAATGGGTAACCCCAAAGGTATGAGTGACGGAATGAGATGGAGAATTCTCGTTACTTTGGAGGAGGGCCAATTGTAATCATAGGTGGCTGCAGAGCTCAACATAATCGAGAACACCTGGACAAGGTCGATCAAGATCCACAACGGCGAATGAGGATCATTATTTGACACTTTCAGCACAGCGACACAGAAATGCTACAGCTTCACAGCTTTTATGCGAGCTCTGTGTCTCCACTAGAATCTGAGTTTCACGGACTGCATTTGCCCGAAGTCTGTATGAGATACAGCTGTATGTCAGAAGACCGGTTGTTTTCGTCCCGCTTATTGCAGCACATAAAAGAGCGCGTTTAGCATGCTGCAGACAACATGCGCCTTGGACCAAACTTCAGTGAAGCATCGTACTTTTTACAGATGAGTCGAAATTCAACCTCAGCATTGATACTTGGCGTACTTGTATCTGGAGAGAGACTGGAACACAATACCTTCCCTCCCTCATCAGAGAAAAGAATCATTAGGTAGCGGAGGTGTAATGGTTTAGCCAGGCATTATGTTGCACATCCGCGCACAACTGCATGTATATCAAGAAAGCCTCCTCACTGCTATGAGGTATCAAGAGGAGATGTTAGAGCCTTATATTTGACTTTTAAGGGGCGCAGTTAGTCCTGAGTTCGTGTTAATGGACAACAACCGCTCGTCCACATAGGGTCCAGCTGATCGATGATTAGTTCGATGAAAATGAGGATATTCGCCTCGTATTGGCCAACCAGATCTTCTGACCTTAACTTATTGTGCGTATCTGGGACGCTCTTGAGAGAACAATTTAGTCTCACCATTTCCCGCCGAGAACTATTCGAGAGTTGAAAACTGTCTTTATGCAGGAGTGGAATCGACTGCTTACAGGGATTTCTCAACCGCCTACTATCCGTCACACTGCACAACTTGTGTGGCTGGGAGTGGGTACCATATTCCGTATTAGACTCATTTTCAGTTCGATATCACTACATAGATTTTGGACATTCCTGCACTATGGGCTTTTACTGATAGTAATGCAATTCCTCTTTTGCACGAGTTTCTTTGCCTATTTTTAATGGTGCATGACTATCTGATGCTGTTACTCCATGTTCCCTTTGCTATCAGTCAATTCAAGGCAATATTTACCGGTGGTGGATACTAACTTTTATTAATTTTTACTTTTATTTTTATAATTATTTAACTCTTTTAAACTGATACCTTTTCGACTATACAGGGTGTCTATAATTATTCACCGGATAAAGATATGTTTTAAATTATATAGAATAAGAGATCTGAAAAAAATGACTGACTGAAATTTACTTAGCACTTCAAAGAATTTTATATTATTACACTTCAACATGAGCACCATTAGTTGCTTGAAGCATATGAACTCTGTTCTCGATTTTCCCTCAGGCTGTTAATAACTTTTGGAGTCACAGTAGTTTTTTTTTTTTTTTTTTTTTTTTTTTTTTTTTTTTGGTGATGCGATTTCTTAAGTCTTCAGACATTCGCAGCATTACTTTGTCCAGAAAAAGAAGTTGATTGGTGGGACGTCCGGACAATGGAATGGGCCATAAAACTGGTCCACCTCTACCATTCCGACGAGTTGGGAAAATAATATCAAGGAATACGTATACATGTGTAGCCCAAAGACAGAGGCGTCATCCTGTTTCGAAAAAAAAAAAAAAAAAGCTTGGCTTTGTTCTAATTGCGGTACTGAAAACAATCTTAGTATATCGAAGTAATCATTCGAATTAATTGATGATTCCGAGAAAAGAAAGACCAATCACTTTGTTTTTAGTTAATGCGCATCTGACGTTAATCAGAAGGACTATCCTACTCAATTTCTCTTACAAAATGCGGTTTTCTGATACTCAAATTTTGCAGTTATGTCGATTAATCGACGTAACTGCAGAAGGTTTGTACATGAATGCTTGACTATGAACATTAACATTCATGTTTGAACACGAAATATTGTGTCATCATTGAATACGATGGTCTCAAAAAATTTATCATCATTACTGATACGATTAAGAATGTCTACAGAAAATTCCTTACAAACGATTCGACCGTTAGATTTCATTAGTTGACAAATCTGCAGTTTATACGAGCTGCGTTTCAACCGTTCATAAACAGTGTTATGAACAGTCGACCTGGGAATTCCTGTTTGGCAGGCTGGCACGGCGAATGGATTACTAGTAGTGCACACAAACACATCTCGAATACAGGAAATATTTTCATTACTGACGCTTAACCTACCTGAACAGTCTTTATGAAGAGCATGTTCGGTCTCTCGAAACTGTTTCAACCATCTTTTAATTAATTGTTCCGCTGGTGGAGGTTTATTAAACTCATGTCGGAATCGCCTGTAATTGTATTCCAATATTTCGTTCCCCATAACCAGAGAATGAACATTGCTTTTTCAATGCACGACGCTATTTGGTCTATAAACAAACAAGTACCCTGTTGTCGTTTCCAAAAATTTGAATAAACGAAATTCTTTCCACTCGACAAAAATTATTTCCTGTTACTTCGCAAATTTACATTTCAATTTAACTTTATTAAATTATGAGCACCCTATATATGTTTTCATTCTTTTTAATTTTTTTTTGGAGGGGGGATTAACGTAAGAGACCAAAACATTTTTTTATTAACCGTTAAAAGTATGCATTTGTGGAAGAACTCTATTTTATTAAATTTAAATGGATTGTTTTAACTGCCAGTAACAGATGCAGAATGTTTTATACGATATTGTGTTATACATTCGGATAAAATTCTTACCAACAGTAAAGCAAGCATTTTAATTTACTATTGTTAAAAATAACTCTGTAAAGCCGAACTGACAAATAGGTAGCTCATGCTGTAGTCAGGAGCCCTGTGTGAATTCATGGGCAAATAGACAATGTACACAATTCCTTGGGTAGTAATATGCCTAATATGGTTAAATAATAGTAAGCGAAATGTTTGAATAATAATAATAACCAATAATAATAATAATAACCAATAATAATAATAATAGCAACAATAATAATAACAGTAACAATATTGCATACACACGCGCGCCATGTCCACAAAAGTCCGTACCCAGTTTTTCTTTTCTCAACCGTTGTTCTAATATACATAAATATACGTAAGATAAAAAATTATGAAAGCAAACTTCTAAATTTAATTGCTTATGACCTCTTATTTAATTCGGGGACTTTCTTTCTTTGTAAAAACAGCTAAACTTCGTTCGAAGTCTAAACTTCGTCATTAAAATTAATCATGCGATTTTACGTTAATGCAGATATCTCATGCCCAATCAAATAAATTGTAAACCAAAACTTAAAAACTGACATTTTTGCTTCCCTCCCTTCTTCCTTTGCATTACTACTGTGGCACACTCTCTTTTTGCTTGTGCTTTCCTCGTGGCCAGACGCTTTGCTGCTATCATCTATGTGCTACAATGATCGCTTATATCGCAATAGTATCAAAATTGTTCTGGAAATGGCACGATTGGAGTTCCAAATGAATTGTGGCCACAAAATGTGAATTTATAATCCGGCTCAGCTGCTTC